AAAAAAAACAACTTAGCGTAGGGCGCGTGTATGAGAGTATGCGCGTGCAAAAAAACAAAGGATGGCAAATGTGATTCTAAAAATAACATCAAACGGTGCCTACGATGGCTACAAGCATGAATACCAGATATTCCTTCTCAAGTTCATTTTCTCTTGATAAATATTTTTATATATCTATACATTAATAATAAAACCATACATAGGATGAATATCTTTGATATATGAATGAATAGGCCATCTACATTACAGCATCACTATACTACAACTACCAGAATTCCTTGCACACTTTCTTTTGTCCAATAAATTAACACCAATTTCCTTCTTATTTCATGAAAAAATTTGAAAGGAATAATAATAATGAATAAATAAAAATAAAGAAAACCGTGAATATTTTAAACAAAACCGAGGCTAACATTAGTAGAGAATTAAAATTGGCGCCGTATTGCATTACGAAAATGGGCTTCTTTATAGGTGATTCAGCTAAACAGAGCAAACATAAAGCACCCCAAGTTATACAATAAAACGAAGCTAACAAAAAATAAAATTTGTTTGCAGTACATGCAGAAGGAAATAATCAATAACGATCGAAGGAATTTGAGTGGAGATGATATAAATGATGGCCACTTACCGTTCCACCAGGACACGTGGAGGTGACACAATAACTGCTTGTAGAACAACTTATCCATCGTGTCTGCAGACTCCCTGACGTGTAGGCCATTCTGAGAGCGATCAGATCACCACTATACAATACTGGGAAGCGATGGCCTAATGATGACAAGAACACACATAAATTTATATAGCTCACATGCATGTATGCGATTGGTTGTGGGGAGTCAAGGGTGGAGTAGAGGTAGCTAGTGCAATCGGCTCTCAACTCGCACGTCGGGAGACGCCCCGTGTTCGATTCGTTAGAATTCGTTACGTGGTTTAACTTGCTTCATGGGATTTCTTCCTTTAATTTCAATTCTTGGAAATGGCCCATCTAGACAAAATGACACGACTGCTTGAACGTACTGATGGATTTTGCACATTATACTAAACATTAGAACATGAACAATATTGTTACAGTTACCTTTAGCAAGTCCAGCCCAAACCTTTTCTCTCGGCTCAAAGAATTTGATATGCGCGTTGCCTAAGGAACAGGTAAAATAAGTTAATGATGTGAGTCAAGTAAGGAAAGACGAAGGAATAAGAGAAGAGAAGAGAAGAGAAGAGAAGAATTTTCAAATCGACAAAGTTCTCAAACCTTTCAAATCCATGTAGTTGTTCGTAAGGGTCAGTGACGGCGCTGCATTGCTCCAAGACATCTTCTCCAATACTAGAAAACTGGCAAAAAGCACTGCTAAACCACGCGTCAACATGGCGTAAATCTCCCAGCTCACAGATATTTAGATATTTTTGGAGTATCTTTCCGAGAGGAAGTTTATCTCAGGCAAACTGATTCAAGTGAACATTGAGAACCAAATGAACTCATTTTATAAGTAGCTCAGTAATATAATCAATCAAAATGCTAAGTAAATATTACTCAATCTGTGAGTATTAACAAACATGTTTAAACGGTTTGAACGTGTTTTTTTATTTATTTTGTTGGTGGATTTGAAAATTGGGTAATTATCGATGACAACTGACGACCATGACATTGAGGTTTAAACCCGGGGGGGGGGGGGGTACTCTTGCCCGTTTAGGGTAGGGATGTGCCGCTGAGCCCTCTGAAACCTGACCCTGTTCCAGAGTAAAAATCGCTGAAATTCAGACCTTGTTCCAGAGCAAGATCGCTGAAAACCCTGTTCCAGAGAGGAGAGAGCGAGATTTTATATACCCTGTTCCAGAGAAGAATTGCTGAAAACTATACCCTGTTTGGCGGCACGTACCCGTATAGCGAATATAGGGGAGTAACCCTCCCCCCCGGGGGTTTAAACTAAATATAGATTTCTCTGGACCACTAGATCGTGCCGAAAAGAATTTTCTTTGGATTTTAATGTGCCAGAGTTAAGTGCTCTTTTAAAGTCAAATAACAAGAGTAAAGAACTCAAAAATAGGCAAAGTTAAAGTCAATTTTTGTACATTATATCTCAAATTTCATCAGGTCTGAAAAAACATTTTAATTTTGGTCTAAAAGTCTACGAGCTCCCCGGCTTTTTTTCAGTGAAAAAAAAAAAAAAAAATGCTTCACACTTGACTGTAAAGTGTCGTTGATTTAATTAAATGAGAAAGAAAACGAAAGAAAATTGAGAAGCTCGAGCTCTAGTCTCCAAAAGACTTAATTTATACAAGAAATTGAAAATGTAAGAAAATGAAATGAGAAATCCTAGCTTCCCGAGGGAAATGCGAATTGCTTGCTTCAGATTAATTATAGATTAGCCTGGTTTTGTCTTCTCGTTAATTTAATACGATGATTGTCGAACTCAGTGCAATAGGCCCTTTGCAGCTCAGTAATCACGTGCTGATTAATTCACTGAGAGCAAATGAATGAATATCTTGATTCCCATGGGTGAAATTTACTGGTGAGCAAACAAACTTTCTACGACCTGTTTCGAGAGATCGTAATAAAACTGCATTTTGTAACACACTGGTTACACATCGTTTCATTCAGTTCTTTACAAGTAGCTAAAAAGAATCACCAATTTGAAATAAWAAAAAAAAATGCTCACCAGTACAGACACGCGACCGTTAACTGCAAAGGGCCTAAAGCACCATGCAAAGCAAAGTAAGGTATTGTGTGTGATGTATTGGGTACAACAATAGGTAAAACATGTTGGTCTAGTCTGCTGGTTTTGGCTTCTAGAAGAATCTTATTGATGGTTTTCACGGCGGCCATGTTGGAGGAACTTAACAAAAGAATTGTCGATGAATTCTTTTGTTATATCCTCCAACATGGCCGCCGTGTCTTTTGTTATTTCATTCTCTTGGGAATGGTTGAAAACCATCAATTAGAGTGAAGTCATTAAACCTGTTAAATAGACTTTTTATTATTGCACTTTTAGTAGACCCTTATTCCACTGTTTTCTTTTGTGTCTATTTGACTGTTATACACGTTGATTAGTAATTTTTATTTTACGGGTTTTAACAATGATCTCACTCTATTATTTGATACTACAAAGATCTTTACTTAAAGATAAGTGTTCTGTATTTCTACAAAAAGAGATGCATTGGCTACAATAGGTTAAACATGTAGATTTAGCCTGTTTTTGGCTTCTAAAAGACTCTCTTTATAATTTACCCGCGATGACTCGAGCATCAATTCACTAGTGCAAAGTAAAGAAAAGTATTCTGTATTTCTAAAAACAGAGATGTATTGGTCACGATAGATAAAACATGTTGGTTAACACTGCTTTAAAAGACTCTCGTTATGATTTACTAGCGATGAATCAAGCTAAAAATTACTATGCAACGCAAAGAAAAGTATTCTGTATTTCTACAAATATAGGTAACACACTTTGGTTGAGACTGGTTTTGACTTCTAAAAGACTCTCGTTAGTAATCTACAGGCGATGATACGAGCTGCAATTCACTAGGTATTAATGCTCACTGTCTTACTGAAGGCATGATTCAATTTTGAATTCTCTACGTTTTCTTTGGTTCAAATTACGCTTTTTTTTTTTTTTTTTTTCATATTTCAGTAGTTGACATCCGCCTATCGACAAATTAATAATATGATATTTTGATGTCAAACTTGAAAGGCTTGGCAAATATTGAATCTACAACAAGATTATTCGCGTTTGCAGCAGCGGCGTTTCAGTGTTTTTGACGTCTTCCCTCACAATCCGCATGTAAATCAAAAAGAGACTGCCAACGGGTGCTTCCCATACAATTGTCAGTTGACTATTAATTTTTCGGCCGAATATCAGTTAACTTTAGTAATTTTACGAGCGCTAGCCATACTATTAATCAAAATAATGAACAGTTAAACCTGTTAACTATTGATTTTAGATTATATGTCTGTTAACTACTTTTTTTTTGGCCACTAATTGTCAGTTGACTAATCCATGTACGTATGCCATATTTTCTGTTCGTATCATGTTAATAGGATTTTTTTTTCAATGATGAGCAAAAAAGCGCCAAAACTAGACTTTCGTATGAGTTTTGATCCCCGCCAATTTTCGTTTTGGGTTAACATGGAAAACCTGTTTTTAACAGTTAGAAACTGGTGTACTATGATAAAATGCCTGTTTAAAGCGGTATTTTCAATTGTACAAAGATGTTTTGTTGCATTGGTGCTAGAATGTTGCATTGTCAGGCTTTTTTATAGAAAATGTATGGGAAATAAGCAAATGAAGGCCTAAACCTCATTTTCGATTCAAATTTTTGCTTTGGGTTAACACTTTGATTCCACTTTCATCGGTTGTCTCCACTTCCACCAAGTTGAACTTTCTAAATAACAAGATTTTAGCCTTGTACAGCAGCCTTTCTTCAAGGAAATAGTTTTTGGCGCTCACCGCTAGAATACGAAAAGAATTCTCTCTTAATATATTGCTCGACCCAAACCCAGCATACAGCATCCCGCTTGCGACAAATGATAAATAATTCCTGTTTTCTGACTTGCAAAACTTTAATACTCATTAATAATAAACTTTAATACATCTTTGACGGCATGCAGGAATCGAGGGATGCTATACAGCAGAACCTCTCGACTTGTAATATAAAAAATACTGCCAACAATCATTTCATAAGGCTGCGTTCATAATGTATAGCA